GTGGTCCAGTAATTGGGACAGACAGGAGTGACCTGCTCTGAATCCATGTTGCCTTGGGTGGGATTTGAACCCGTGGTCAGAGAGTCTCAAAACTCCAGACCATCGCGTTAGCCGCTGGACCAGCTAGCCACAATAAGATACGTCCAACTAGGTATATTTCTACACCATAGGAAGGTTAGCATAGGCACCACTGTGACCACAAATGCAAGTTTTTACAGACAAATCTCCAGCTAGCATGGCTGTGACGAACTCGAGCTCAAGTCCCCTCACTGCTGTCAACTTGACTCACGAAATCGTAATGACACGATTGCAAACAAACCATACCATGGGCGGGATTTGAATCCGCGGTCAGAGTGTCTCAAAACTCCAGACCATCGCGTTAGCCACTGGACCAGCTAGCCACAATAAGATTCGTCCAACTAGGTATATTTCTACACCATAGGAAGGTTAGCATAGGCACCACTGTGACCACAAATGCAAGTTTTTACAGACGAATCTCCAGCTAGCGTGGCTGTGACGAACTCTAGCTCAAGTCCCCTCACTGCCGTCAACATGACTCATGAAATCGTAATGTGGTCACAGTGGTATGGTTTGATGGATATCTAGATGCATATCTAGATGGGTGGCAATCTTGCTTCGTAGAACCCTTTGAAAGATTTTTATGATATGGGACGTTAGTGTTATTTGTCTGTAGTTCTTTGCTTTTGCTTTACTGCCCCCTTTGTGGAGTGGGGCTATATCTGTTGTTTTTAGCAGCTGTGGGACGACCCGTGTCCATGCTTCCTCTCCATAGGATGTTAAAAGCACATGATAGGGGCTTCTTGCAGTTCTTGATGAACAGTTTCATGAGTCTGGGCCTGAGGCAGAGTGCATGGGCATATCATTTATCACCTTTCCAAAGTCATTTGGCGTCAGGATAGTATCATATAGGATCAAGTCTATCAAATTCTGTCTCTCACAAGAAATTCATTTAGGTCATCGACTCTCAGTCTGGTTAGCGGCTCGCTAAAATCCGAGTCATATTGCGACTTGGGTAGCTCACTCATTTCCTCGCTGTCATCTGTGTAGGACCCATCTCATTTAAGGGCCCAATACTGGATGCTGTTTTTGACTTTGATTTGGCATAAGAAAAGAAATATTTTGGGTTTCTTTCAGTTTCATTCATGGCTTTTAGTTCTTCCTGCATATCTTGGCTCCTGTAAGATTCCTTTAACTTTAGCTTGATGTTTGCTATTTCTCTGACCAATGTCTTCCTACATATTGTATATATATTGGTCTCTTTTAGTTGCTCTATTATTATTCACCTTCACCGGTATAAGGAGCACTTTTTATTTTTTTTTTTTTATTATTATCACACTGGCCGATTCCCACCAAGGCAGGGTGGCCCGAAAAGGAAAAACTTTCACCATCATTCACTCTATCAGTCTTGCCAGAAGGGTGCTTTACACTATAGTTTTTAAACTGCAACATTAACACCCCTCCTTAAGAGTGCAGGCACTGTACTTCCCATCTCCAGGACTCAAGTCCGGCCTGCCGGTTTCCCTGAACCCCTTCATAAATGTTACTTTGCTCACACTCCAACAGCACGTCAAGTATTAAAAACCATTTGTCTCCATTCACTCCTATCAAACACGCTCACACATGCCTGCTGGAAGTCCAAGCCCCTCGCACACAAAACCTCCTTTACCCCCTCCCTCCAACCTTTCCTAGGCCGACCCTTACCCCGCCTTCCTTCCACTACAGACTGATACACTCTTGAAGTCACTCTGTTTCGCTCCATTCTCTCTACATGTCCGAACCACCTCAACAACCCTTCCTCAGCCCTCTGGACAACAGTTTTGGTAATCCCGCACCTCCTCCTAACTTCCAAACTACGAATTCTCTGCATTATATTCACACCACACATTGTCCTCAGACATGACATCTTCACTGCCTCCAGCCTTCTCCTCGCTGCAACATTCATCACCCATGCTTCACACCCATATAAGAGCGTTGGTAAAACTATACTCTCATACATTCCCCTCTTTGCCTCCAAAGGAGCACTTTTCTCTTTCTAGTTTACATTTTCTCCTCCTTTTCCTTAAAGGAATATGCCTTGAGCATACCTCGAGTGCCACAGAGTTAATTTGTTCTAGACATAGGTTTGGATCCATGTTGCTTAGGCTATCTTCCCAGTTTATATCACTTAGGGCCTGGTTTACTTGGTCTCACCTTATGTTTTTGTTATTGAAGTTGAATTTAGTAAAAGCTCCCTCGTGGGGAGGGCATACATGTCTGTACCTCTATTATGTTGTGATTTGAGTATATTGTTTTTGATATGGTAATATTTCATATCAGAGCATCATTGTTAATGAAGGTGAGGTCCAGTGTATTCTCCAGTCTTGTAGGCTCTATTATTTGCTGGTTAAAGGTGAATTTGGTGCAGAGATTTAAAAGTTCATGTGTGTGCGAGTTTTCATCTGAGCTGCCTTGGTGTTATCTCTGCTACAACATTATTTGCTACATTCTTCCATTTTAGGTGCCTTAGGTTGAAATCTCTCAGGAGCAAGATATTGGGGGCAGGGGCTGGAAGATTTTCCAGACAGTGATCAATTTTCACAAGCTGTTCCTGGAATTGTTGGGCAGTTACATCCAGAGGCTTGTATACAACCACAGTGACCAGGTTTTGGTTCTCGATCTTTACTGCCAAAACTTCAACTACATCATTTGAGGCATTTAGTAGTTCTGAGCATATAAGTGACTCTGTGATGTACAAGCCAACCCCCTTCCCCTCCCTTCCTTTTGCCTGTTCACTCTGTCGCATCAGTATAGGTTGTAGCCCGGGATCCATATTTCATTGTCAGAGTGGTCCTTTATGTGGGTCTCTGTGAAAACCGTGAACATTGCATTTGACTCTAAGCAGTTCATGGATGAAAGGTATTTTGTTGTTCGTTGCTGGCTTTAGACCCTGTGTATTTGCAAAGATGAATGTCGTCAGATTGGTGGTATGGGGGGGAGTCTCTTTTTCCTGGCACTAATATTTGTTGTTGTGGCGTAGAGGCCATCGACCGTGATTCCACTCCAGAAATGGTCGGAGTTGGTGTACAATTTCTGTCATTCCCTGCCAGCTTAAGAGTGTTCGTCACCACATTTCCTCATGTCTCATTGTCGTGGAATGTAAGCATTTTTAGTTTTACTTCACAACTCACAATTCATATGTCCAGGAGATATTTTGCAACATACCCATATCTTTGACTTTTTATATTTTTATTACTATTGTGCTGGGTCACCCCACTGGTTCTGCAAATTCTAATTTTGGCCTGCACTTTAAAGGAGGGGTTTGGGATATTAGCTGTTTAGAGTGACATCTAAATTGTCATATCGATGCACCTCTAACAAGACAGTAATAGTGTGAATGATTGTGAAAATGTTTCTTTTTTTTGGGGTCACCCTGCTTCAGTGGGAGACAGCCAGCACGTTAAAAAATATATATACAGCGGTACCTTGACTTGCAAGTTTAATTCGTTCGATGACCCAGCTCGTAACTCAGTTTGCTCGTCTATCAAATCAATTTTCCTTGAAATTAATTGAAATGCCATTAATCCATTCTGGTGGAATTCCTGTCTCTCGGGAGGCAGGAGAAAATACACCAATATAACACTAATATCAACTCTACAGCTTATTTATCTATAACAATTGATCTAATATGACATAATAAACAATATAAATAACATAGAAACATGATATACTCTAAAATGAATAAAATATGTCATTATGTGACGAGTGGTGGTGGCCACTCCCAAGGTAAAAATAATTATCGCTCTGACCATATCTTCCCGTTCTTGCCCTTCTGAGGTCTTATTATAAGAGAAAACAGAGTATTTGTGAGTCTAACTGCACTAGATCACTAGTTTCATAAGGAAAACACAGAAACAAAAGCAATTTTCTCAGATTTTTTTTTCCCGAGTCAGGAGACCGACCTGCGTTTTGGGTGAATGTCTCAAAAGTAAATCAGCCTCGTGCCTTCTCGCAGAGAAGGCACAATTCACGAAGTACATAATACGTTTGTACTGCCTCGCCAAGTCAACTACACGCACACCTCGCTCGTGTTTTTCTATAATTTCATGCTTTAATTCAGTGGAAATCATCCTCTTCTTCTCAGCACTGTCCTCTGCACTTACTTTCTTAGAACCCATGGTTAGAAAAAAGAAATTTGGCAAAATAACTGCACATAACACAAGCACAATACAAGAGAGCTGCTTCCACAGCGAGGTAACCATGTGCACTGTTGTGGCATTCACTGCACCAGCTAGTAACAGTGTATCTGAAGCTCGCTCGTAACTTGGATTTTGGCAGCAATTCACAGCAAAAAATTGACCGAGCAATGGCTCGTAACTCAGAAAACTCTTAAGTTGGGGCATTCATAAGTCAAGGTACCACTGTATTTGATGTTTCCCCATATGATATGTGAGTTTTTCACTACTTCATTTATTTGAGCTACAGGTAACAAACTTATGTTTATAATTGCTCAGCACACACTGAGGCTTTCAATATTTTATGAGGTGGTCTGCATTCATGTGGCCAAGTTTTGCTTTCTGTCTATAGCTTTATTTTAAGAAAACTTTGTATAACAAAGTTAAAAAGACACTATGGCAGAATGGAAACCTTTGAGACTACAGTTCACTTGGAGACTTAAGACTTGAAAATTCTTAGTCTACGAGCACAATTGGGGAGAAATTAGAGTGGGGAAGTGTCACAAACATCATTCCTCATGAGTTAGTGGTGGGGCCCCTTGTTCACTACATACGTAGACAACATAGTTGAGGGAATAAATAGCGACATAAGTTTGCCGATGACACTAAAATAGTCTGCCATCAGATTTATTCTGATGAGGATGCTAGTGTATGCATGCACATTTTGTTTATCTTTAATAGTAATGTATATTATTTAATTAATCCCCTGTATATAACATTTTTGTGTAGAATTGCTTGATAAGTAGCTTTGCCCTTATGTATTTGTAGGTGCTTCTTGTGGACCATGGAGGCATAATGAAAGCTTCGATATCCTGTCTCTATCCTCTTCCTAACACACTGCAAGACTTGAGGCATCTTGGCATGGTGGTGTGCTTGATGGGTCTAGTTGCCCCTGGTGGTCACAAACACTGGCCATCAACATCTCTGGACTACATCAAAGAACAGCTGACAAATCACAGCAACTTGTACATCTTTCGTAAAGTAAGTCTCACTTCATTTTACTTGTTAGTTCTCCTATTTTTTAATTGCTTAACCCTTTGAGGGTCCAAGCCATAGTTCTACACCATGAGCTCATCTCACTCAGATAAGCTGTGAGCAGTAAATTTGGGCCTAGATGTGGCAGAATGGATCTATGTGGTAAGTGTGCATGCACCATATCAAAAAAATCCTGCAGCATGCAGTGCATAATTTATTTATTTATTTATTTTTTATTTGGACCTGATACATAGTTGTACAAAGATATTGAGAAAAAAATGTGACCGTATTTTTGGATTAAAATGCCGAATTTGAGGTGTATTTTCATGTGGTTTTTATGGTTGTATTTGCTGTTTCTTGGTCTCATTTGATAGAATGGAACATATATTACAGAAATTGAGCTCAAATTAGTGGAAATTTTCGATTTTTGCTGATGTTCAAGAGTAAACAAATGACGTCACGCATGCAATACACATCAACTGGTGGGTCTAATATACGTTCACGAATTCGCTGATATTATTTATACAGTTATTACAGTATTGCATAATGGTAAATCTTCTATTTTTTGGTGTGAATATAAATTCTTTATGTAAATAAAAATCAAAATGGAATTCATCTGTAAAGACTGGAAACATAACTAATACACAGAGGAAATTTTATTTTCATGCCAGGAATGCCTGATTGTTTACTGTGGACCCTATTTTGAAATTGGAATATTTTAAATTTTGTGTGAAATTAGGCAAATTACCATTTTCTGATAACTTTATTGGGTAGTTGCAATAGTTGATTGGACAGTTTCTTGTGCTCAGTCAGTAAAATAGAAGCAATACTAGTGAAATAGCTAAGAGTTTGGTCAACTGAAATAATGTAATTGGCTTAAAAGAGGTGTCAAAGCAGGCAAAATCGCCGAAGCATAAATATCACTGATGCAGTAAAATTCGTGATAGTGTAATTTCATCAGTCTTCAATCAAATTTCATACTTTTTGTTTTATTACTTTTAGAGAAAGATCCTCCTCCTCCCTCCTCCCCTCCCTCCCTCCCTCCCCTCCCCTCCCTCCCTTCCCTCCCTTCCCTCCCTTCCCTCCCTTCCCTCCCTTCCCTCCCTTCCCTCCCCTCCCTCCCCTCCCTCCCTCCTCCCTCCCTCCCTCCCTCCCCCTCCCTCCCTCCCTCCCCTCCCCCCTCCCCCCTCCCTCCCTCCCCTTCCTCCCCTCCCTCCCCCTCCCTCCCTCCCTCCCCTCCCCTCCCCTCCCCCTCCCTCCCCTCCCTCCCCTCCCCTCCCCCCCCTCCCCCCCTCCCCCCTCCCCCCCTCCCCCCCCCTCCCTCCCCTCCCCCCCCCTCCCTCCCTCCCCTCCTCCCCTCCCTCCCTCCCTCCCTCCCCTCCCCTCCCTCCCCCTCCCTCCCTCCCTCTCCCTCCCTCCACTCCCCTCCCTCCCCTCCCTCCCTCCCCTCCCTCCCTCCCTCCCTCCCTCCTCTCCTCCCCTCCCTCCCCTCTCCCCTCCCCCTCCCCCCCTCCCTCCCCTCCCCTCCCCTCCCCTCCATCCCTCCCTCCCAAAAAGGAACATTTTTTTTTTTTTCAACAAGTCGGCCGTCTCCCACCGAGGAAGGGTGACCCAAAAAGAAAGAAAATCCCCAAAAAGAAAATACTTTCATCATTCAACACTTTCACCTCACTCACACATAATCACTGTTTTTGCAGAGGTGCTCAGAATACAACAGTTTAGAAGTATATACGTATAAAGATACACAACATATCCCTCTAAACTGCTAATATCCCAAACCCCTCCTTTAAAGTGCAGGCATTGTACTTCCCATTTCCAGGACTCAAGTCCGACTATATAAAAATAACCAGTTTCCCTGAATCCCTTCACTAAATATTACCCTGCTCACACTCCAACAGATCGTCAGGTCCTAAATACCATTCATCTCCATTCACTCCTATCGAACACGCTCATGCACGCCTGCTGGAAGTCCAAGCCCCTCGCCCACAAATCCTTCCTTACCCCTTCCTTCCAACCTTTTCGAGGACGACCCTTACCTTGCCTTCCTTCTCCTACAGATTTAAATGCTCTCCATGTCATTCTACTTTGATCCATTCTCTCTAAATGACCAAACCACCTCAACAACCCCTCTTCAGCCCTCTGACTAATACTCTTATTAACTCCACACATTTGCTATCGTTTATTCAATACCTGTACTCGCCTATGTGTGCCTTACCTCTCAATTTGCCATTTGCCAGATTCACTCTTTCATTTAATGCCATTAGCTTCTCATAGCTCTTATCACTGGAATAAGCCCAGTTGTATACTTGTGCACATTTTTCGTTTTCTTAACATACTTTTTCAGGTGTGGGTTCCATACTGGTACTGTATACGTACTCCAAGATTGTCCTGTAGGGGTTATTCATCTGATATGAGCCTCTAGTGATATACCAGGGACTATGCTAACCCCTAGGTGTTTCTTTTTGAGTGAGGTGTGCAGCCTTTGCTCCCCAACTCTATACTTTGTGTCTGGTCTTCTTGCCTCTTTCCCAATCTTCATAACCTTGCATTTGTTAGGGTTGAGTTCAAATACCTCCTTAGCTGAGCAGTCTTCTAATTTTTACAGATCCATTGGAAGCCCTTCCTTTGTCCTCATTTGTTTTTATTCTTCTCATTAGTTTTATATCATCAACAACTGAGTTACTTTTTCTCATTTTGACATCTGTTCTTTAACAATCCCTGTTTGCTTCATTTCCCTAAGATACTCTGTGATCCACCAGATTATGTTTGCTGTTATTCCTGCCTGCATCTCAGCTTTTTGTCCCAGTCTCTTGTATAGTATAGTTCCAAATGCCTTCTTGCAGTCTAAGAAAATGCAGTCCACCCATTCCTCTTTCTCTTGTCTCGTATCTCTTACTTTATCTGAAAACTCCAACAGGATGGTAAAAATTTTGCCATCTCAGCCCATGCTTGTTGTTGCTAATGAAAACACATCTCTCCAAGTGTTCTACCATTGTCCTGATAATCATCACTTTGCATGGTATACATGCCACAGAAGTTGGTCACCCTGTCTCCCTTCTTAAAAAAATATGGACCACATTCACTGTCTTCCAGATCTCTCTTAACTGTCTTTTATCCATTGACTTGTAGGTCTCAGCTAGCAGTTTACACATTACTTCTGCTCCCCATTGAATCCACATTCTTCCAGTACAAGGTGGAAGATTGAACCTCTGTACCTTCTTGCACTGACTGACTTACAAAAAAATGTGATTTCTAATAAGCATAGAGATCTCCAGTGAATACTAGAAAGGACTGCCCTTCTAGCATCCAACCTGTTACTGGGTTTTCGTAACAAGTAGTCAGTATCCTGGTCCAATTATCCATTAGAATTCAGTAAGAATTAATAGTGCTTCAGGATTACAACTGGTAGGCTACTAACTAAAGAAATTAAAATTTAATAAGTTTATTAATAAACAAAATTGTCTAGGAGTATATTATCAAATTAAAATAAATTAATCAATTTAAACAAATTAATAATAATCACTTCTCTCATGTACAGTAGTATTGTGCTGAAGGCACATATCACATTTATATGTCTTAAGTACCATCTGGTACATTAACATTTAATAATACATATATATACAAAGAAGTTTGTGTGTAAGTGCTCTAAGTAATTCGCTGTGTCTCAAAACTCATCTAGACTTAACTAGTGACTGACTAAGTCCTCACATTAATTAACTTCTTGACCACCTGGCAATCAGAACAGCTTGCTTGAACACTAAAACGACTGCTTAGCCCAATAGCAATATAACAAGCAACTGTGACACAGAATCAGGATCAAGGAGATAATATAACGACACTAAGTAGGGACCATCAGCAGATCCTCCACAAAAGTCACAAAACTCCCATACTACTGAATCTAAGTACCAGACTGTGACAGTACACAGATACCAGTATATAAAAGGATTATTTGGTGTTCTGGTAGCGGGGAGTAAATGATACGTCTTCGGAGGCTTCTTACTTTATTGTTAAGGCGTGGTGGGTACACAGGCTTGTGTGTTGTACCCATGGCCCAGGAGGGCCATCCCACGAGAGAGAGCTAGGAGTAGGCCTTGTGTCTTCCTGCTACGCCGCTGTGTGAGTGAGAGCGAGGCAAGGGCAGGCAGGCTGCCGTGCCCACCGAGAGGCCTAGCTACAGAGGGCAGCACCTTAGTGCCGCGAAATATGAACTAAGCTGGCAGACAGCATGGGCTGTCTGTGCAGACAGTACAGGCTGTCTACATACGCTCCTCCACCTACCGCGCGTCGTCCCGACGCGACAATACTGGTGGTAAAAGGAACTCGGTCTCTCTCTCGTAGGAACAGGGCACAGAACACAAAATAAAAGCATATACAGTGGACCCCCGGTTAACGATATTTTTTCACTCCAGAAGTATGTTCAGGTGCCAGTACTGACCGAATTTGTTCCCATAAGGAATATTGTGAAGTAGATTAGTCCATTTCAGACCCCCAAACATACACATGCAAACGCACTTACATAATTGGTCGCATTCGGAGGTGATCGTTATGCGGGGGTCCACTGTATATACATATGGACATGGAAAAAATTTCCTACAGGGAGGGAAGAAAAAAAACATGTGGGGTGTGCTAAACATCGTGGTCATAGGCAGTGAGCGTCGAAGGGCATCACTGCACGCCTTCCTGCGTCTGGACAGATACTGCAACACAGCAGACATCGCTGCGGCTGAGCTGTGACGTAACAGATTACGGTCTTCTCTGGAACAGTGAAGCAGACATCGTAGGAGTCCCTGCAGGTTTTCACTCAACCTGGGGCTCGACATGCTGGTGCCCTCGAGTGAGGTGTCGACAAAACTCGGCAACTGGGCAGGACTTCTGGCAAGTGACTCAGGAGGATACTTCTCGACTGGTACTGTCGCTGGGCTGTCACTGCCGGCGAGCGTGGAGCGAGTTCTGGCAGAGACGACTGGGCGAAACATCTGGGAGTCGTAATATCATACACCAGACTG